TGGCCGCATTGAAGAACCTCGAACGTCCCGTCGATACGTGGGACGACCTGCTTGTTTACATTATGTCCCGGAAATTCAGTCCTCGCACGCGAAACGAGTGGAACTTAAAACGCACGGAATTCACCGAGCTTCCGTCTTACAAGAACATCAACGAATTCTTGACGACGCGTATTCGCGGCTTATCCGATCTTGCCGATTCCCAAAAGGAAACTCGTCGCTTCAGGGACGATAGGACGCGCCCGTCCGTTAATAATGTCACCGCATTCAAATGCGTTTTCTGCTCCGGCAATCATTCCGTTTTAAAATGTGACAAGTTTCTAAGTAAGACGGTCGCGCAGCGAGGCGATTATGCGCGTCAGAACAAACTTTGTTTGAACTGTCTGAGATCCGGGCACTTCCTTCAACAATGCACTAGCAAATCTCGATGCTCGCACTGTCGTCGTTCGCATCATACGCTGCTACATTTCGCGAACGATACGAAAACCGATGTCGCGGAAAACTCATCGAGGATAAGAGCGGAAGCGCAACCGTTCACTCCCGCGGCGTCAAACGCGCCCGTCGCTGCGAGCAGCAATCACGTCGCAAAAGTACAGACCGTTCCCCCCGCGGATACGGTTCACACGAACGTCCTCCTAGCGACGGCCTGGGTGGACGTTCACACGGTCGAAGGTCGAAGTTTTAAAGTGCGCGCTCTGTTGGATCAGGGATCCACGTTTAGTTTTATTTCGCAAGCTCTCTGTCGAACGTTACGTACGAAAAGACAAATCTCGAATCTTCAAGTTACTTGTTTCGGCGAGAAGTATACGGGCTGCGCGAAATCACGCGTCATGCTGACATTGACGCCGTGCGCCCGTTCGGGACCAGGCTTCCCGCTGCACGCCTACGTTTTTCAAAGCATCACTTCGTACGCGGCGTCGCAGATTCAGCCCTTCGAGTCATGGCCACATTTACACGGCCTTTCATTCGCCGATCCAGATCCGTCAAGCCGACACCGAGTTCACTTGTTGATCGGTGCCGATTTATACGGTTCGTTGTTGAAGGATGGCCTCCGGCAAGGCCCTATCGGCACGCCTACCGCTCAGATGACAGCGTTAGGTTGGATTCTTTCCGGCCCTGCGGGTCGCGGCCGGGGTGAGTCCGCACACATAGGAGTATGTCATAACGTGTCCACTCAAGACATAAATACGCTTCTCAAGCGATTTTGGGAGGACGAGGAGGTCACGCTCCCCCTTCCACTTACCGACGAGGAAGAACGTTCCTCGCCACTCACGATCGTTCTCCGGAAGGACGATATATCGTTCGACTACCCTTCCGGCATGAAACTCCGATCGACATAGGCGATTCGCTGCCTATTGTTATAACACTCTACGATAAGATGGAAAAGAGGCTGCGCCGGCACGCGGAACTCTCCGCGCAGTACCAGGAATTTTTGGCGGAATATCTCTCCTTGGGGCACATGAGCGTGATCGACCGTCCTAGCGACATCGCTCTTCACCCCGTGTATATTCCGCATCATCCGGTTGTGCGCGAGTCTAGCAGCACCACAAAATTACGCGTCGTGTTTAACGCTTCGTGCAAGACGACAAACGGCACGTCATTGAACGATCACCTACTGGTCGGGCCGAAGTTACAACACGACCTTTCCGCTATCCTGCTCCGCTGGCGGCAGTGGCGCATCGTCTATACGGCGG